TTGGGGCCAAAGGGAAACCGCCGGCAGCGCTTAACTTGATTGCCCGCCCCACTCGCGCAGCGTTGGACAAGTCCATGTCTGTTCATGTCAATTCCATTGCGCGAGGAATGCCTGAAACAAAAGCCTCTAGACCAATAACAAAATGCGGAAGCCGGCGAACGAGGTTGAGCAGCAATCGACCGTGCACCTTGGCGCCGGGGAAGGAGAAACTTCCGGATGGCTTCAAGGCCAGTTTGACTCTGACCGGTGGCATGCGCAAGGCCAGCTTTGATTCCTCCCCCGTCCATCAGCCGACGCGCGTGAATCCGCACTGGTCGAAGTCTCGCCCGAACATGAGGTGAGAGCTTGGCCTTTCAGCAGGTCCGACGGGGGCCGCTTGACAGCCCGCCGAGGCTCCCTGATGCAGTGCAACTCCCAGCTTCAGACTGAAAAGTAGCAACCCGCCCATCGACTTGCAAGCTCAGGGATACCAACTTACCGGACACCGCAAAAGATACCCCCTCCGGGGGCGGACAGCTGCGCCATGGTGTTTCGACGCTTGGGGAGTGGCGCTAGGCAAATGATCGCAGTTACTTCCCCGGCTGCGCGGGCCCTGAGAGCTGCCTGCTCTGCTCCTCGACATGCGTGGCAACCTCACCGACCACTTATCCCACAGCTGCTCGCCAGTTGCCTGTGCACACCTTGCGCGGTCGCACTCCAAGGAACGTTGGTGGCCCACACATATGGGCAATGATGCAAGCGGGCGTTTGATCACATATGAGGCACTGTATGCGTGTGGCTCCAAAGGCAACGCAACGGTCACTTACGGCTTCATCACCATTCAAACAGGCCATTGAAGAAAGGCGAAAAGGCAAACTTCATGCTGGCGAAGCACATGGCCTGCATGTGATTGTCCTGGAAATAGGCGGCAGGGAGGTTTGCTGTGCCGGTCTTTGCATGTAGCGCTGGCCCCAATGGCCCTTGCGCGCGTTTGAAGTTGTGCTGCGCGAGGCGATGCGTCGAATCCTGCCCCCAGCCCAAAACCAACGTTGACTACTAAAAGGGCAGATAGAAAGCTGCACTTCAACTTTTGGTTGGAGGGTGTGGCTCAGCCTCTTAGCGTGGGACATCTTTCTACGCAGGTGTTTCCAAGAAGAGGCAGGTTTAACCATGGCCGGTTTCGGGTCGGTTCTCTTTGACCTCATTTTACATTGTAAGATCGACTGAACATCACCAGAGATGGCTGCCAGAATCGAGGAACGACATGTCAGACATTGGGGGCAAGAGTTTCGGATCGGGGTTGGCCAACGTTGGTGGACCCAGGCACCCCAACTCGTCTTGCTCTTTCCGGAAGCATGCATGGTCTGTCGATGGTCGAATTGACAACACTTCGAAGGAACTTGTGCACTTCCACGTTAGGCTTGGAGCACACCCTAGCCCGTGGCCCAGGTCCGTACTGCTGTGCACAGTTCGCTGTTTCGCGGGAGACCATTCAAGCCCGCAGTGAGGACAGGATTGAGGCTTATGCTGATGGACGTGTGGAACAGCTCGAACTTGTTGGGAGGTGAACCAAATGGAATTCACCTATTGGGTGACCCAGACGGCTCCAAAGCAAGTTTCAGGTCCAGGTCCATCTCTTTGCCGCCCCAACCAACTTGACAAACCGCCAAGGCAGTGATTGCTCCAGTCGAATCCATACCTGTCCCTTGGCTCGAACCATGTCCTTATTTAAAAGGCCGCAACTGCCCGCATTTTGCGAATTGAAGCCAATTCGCATCCAATGATGGTTGGTGGTCTCTTGGCGGATTCCCGTGCGAAACTTGTTCCAAGGTGGGACACAGTCTATCTTTCATTCATGGGTGAATGATTTTCGCCCAGGCCCAAGATGGATGCGACTCCAGGGCTCCATGCCCTCACACGCACCACCTTTTGGGCTCGGGATGGTCATAAATCTGTGGGGTTTTCCTCAAGACTTAGAAGCTGAAGGAATCCATGGTTGAGGACGGAGCATGGGTTCATGAACCCATGGATTCGACAAACGGTGAACTCTTGAATAAACGAGGGGTTCTACGAAAAGGACGCAGAGAAAACATTTCGCGCGAGGACTTCTACCTGAAGATGCTGGGCCTCGTGGACGGTTCCCGAGATGTGGACCTTTGTGGGGTGGAAGGCGGGCACAAGCAGAGCTAAGCCGCTGGGTGCAGAATCGGACTCGGGTGTTTTCCCTTTTGGTTTCCTCTAGAACTTGCAAGGAGTGCCCTAAGACAAGTCCAGGTTTTGATCACACAACACGTGATCGGTCACCTTGGGCACATCTTGAATTGCCAGGGCTCCTCATAGCACATGGCAATGGCAAGAAGTCCTCTCTGATTTCAGCCTGCGATTCTGGCACAGAGCACCGATGAAGGGAGAAGCGAGATTGAGCCCCGGGAGGCACCAAGCGCAGCACCCAATGCTATGGCTTCGAGTTCCTTTGGCATATTGCCCAGCACTCAGGCTCTTCACGCATTTTGCGGGTGGCAATGGGTGCTTTGAGGGTACCCTGTGTTGCCATTGATGGGCTAGAATTGGACACTTGATTGTTGATTTGTCTTGCAGTTTCGACGTGGCACAATATTTTTGCATATCACTGGAAGGTCTGGTCAGTGAAAGGACTGAGTTTGCGAGAGCATGGTGACAAGCAGTGGATTCATCAGAGTCGTTCTCCTTTGGTCTGCTGGAGAACCACTTGCACGGTTTCATGTAGTGCCAAGCACACGAGCTTTTTCAAACACGCCCACTGTCGCCTCCACCGGCGGAGTGAAAATCACACCACCTGGCCTTGGGAACATCCCAGTTGAATTTTCATGATGTTGCTGCATGTTTCCCTCAAACCAAAGTGGAGTCCCCAATTAGTCTAGCGATGTGTCATAATTACACTGCAGATGAGCCTGGAACCCAGGCGACCTTGCCCAAGGCTGTCCCAACTGCAGAATTCCCGCCTACAAGCTTGATCAACGGACTGGTAGTGCCATCTGTCGTTTGCACGCGAGATTGGAATTCGCTAAGTCCGCCAAACTTTGTGCCGGAAGCTGCTTTGTTTCGGCTAGACTTTGTGCCGTGGCTAGGTGTTTTAAGCTGTTGTAACATCAAGGCAATAAAAGCCGAAGACGAAACAATTTTTCAGTGCCTCGTCCCGCAGCAATGTTTGGCTCGTGCTTTCAGTGTTGGCTTTGGAGCCTCGTCCATCAGACACGATGTGGATATTTGGATGCATGGAGTGATGAAGTTGTTTTCCTTCAGTTGCAGGTGCGTGTGTCAGAAGATGTGCGAAATGGCACGCTTTGGCACACTGTCCAAACTCCATCGGAAGCGTTGGTCACACCATTTTACACTGTCCGAACTCCATCGGAAGCGTTGGTCACACCATTTCACACTGTCCGAACTCCATCGGAAGCGTTGGTCACACCAATTCAGTTGAATCCTCAAGTACAAATACCTGGTGATGAGCCACATTCAAATGTGGAAGTCCACGTGATGGTTTGTGCCTTGATTTGTGGTGTTGCGTTTGCTATGAGTATGCTGCTGCCTCAAATTGATCAGGGCGCTGTTCAGCAAGTGCCGTGGGCAGCTCTTTTTGCTGTTGAATTCATGGCAGTCGCTTCACAGAACATGATTGTGCAGAATCTTCCTCACATAGTTTGTGATTTTGACTCCTCATCCGGCGTCATAAACTTAGCACTGGAGCTCAATTGGATCGCTGCGGCGGTTTTTTCCCTGACATTCGGCAAGGTGGCAGTGCAGCAGCCGAGAAGACAACTGGTCTTGCTGGGCTTGGGGGTGTTCTTGTGCTCAACCTTAGTCGCGGCTATGGCACCTAATGCTCTTGTCTTCATCCTGGCTCGTATCATGGAAGGTGCAGGACAAGGAACAATTGTAATGATCGACATTGTGGCAATGGACGTGTGCAAAGATGCCAACATCAGAACGAAGCTCTACGCGAGCCTTGGCATGCTGTGTGGCTTTGCAGCCGCTTCAGCCCCTGTCATCGGGGGCCTTGTGGGCTCACTTCACTGGAGGTTGGTGTTCTTGCTCCTTGCTGCAGGCCTCCTTGGCGCATTTGTCTCGGCAAAGCTCTTCCTGCCAGAAACGTGCCCGGGGAAGGAAGGCCCACTTCCGGAGGAAAGCGCAGAGGCCTCCCCGCAGTTGGAAACCAAAGTTGAAGCTGGAGGTTTTGCTGCCTTCGCAGGGGAGTGCTTGCAAAGTCCCTTGCCATTTTCGTACTTGATGCTGAGTGTGGGAATGACGGCGACATCATTTAACTTTGCTGCCAACGCTCCCTATGTGCTGCAAGTTCATCACGGCTTCGGCATCGTCCAAGCTTCTCTCATTACTGCAACGGTGCCACTTACATTTTTTGTGTCAAATCTCGTGGGCAAGTGTTTGACCCTACAGCCAGCTACGCTGATGAATCTTGGGGCGCTGTTCAGCATTTTGGCGGGCACCATGCTACTGTTGTGGGCTTCCCAACTGGCCAACTTTGTTGCGCTGCATATGCTTGCGATGATCATTGTGAACCTGGGCATTGGAATTTCCCTGGGGGCCCGCAGGGCCCTCTACGGCGAGGCCACGTCCAACATTGAAGTTGCAATGGGCGTGACCAGATTCTGCGAGCCGTGTGTCAGTGCCATAGTTGCGGCGCTTGGAGAGCTCTTTTTGTCGGAGTCCGGGCTGGTAGCTTTCATCGTGTACCAAGGGCTGTGGCAGATAATCTATTACTTGCCATGGCTGATCTTCATTGGTTTTCATTTCTGAAGTGAGCGAGCTTGCATACAGATCGACAATGACACGGAAGCCTGCGCCCAGGCCATAGGAAGAAAATAACCTGCTCGCGCGTGTTCCTAGATTTGCTTGGTCCATGAACCGGGTTGAAGCGGTTTTGGGCTGACATGCATGCAGTCTTGTGGATGTTGATAGACACCACGTGTTTGGCTTGAGCATAGTGCTGGCGCAGCTGGGCTCCTGGCCATGGGTTGCATCTCATGGATGGCCACAGGCGCAATGCGCAAAACCTGGAGGCCTGTCATCCGCACGCGCGCACGCAAGCAGGCGCACGCAGCAAGCAGGCATGCACCTTCCCCCACCTAGTTTGACCGACCCACCAACCCACCCACCAAGCAACCAACCAATAAACAAGCAAGCCAGCAAGCAAACCAACCAACAAAAACCAAGGAACACAACAAGAATCAAACAAAACAAACAAGACAAACAATCAAACAAACACACGAGCCAGCCAGCCAGCCAGCCAGCCAGCCAGCCAGCCAGCCAGCCAGCCAGCCAGCCAGCCAGCCAGCCAGCCAGCCAGCCAGCCAGCCAGCCAGCCAGCCAGCCAGCCAGCCAGCCAGCCAGCCAGCCAGCCAGCCAGCCAGCCAGCCAGCCAGCCAGCCAGCCAGCCAGCCAGCCAGCCAGCCAGCCAGCCAGCCAGCCAGCCAGCCAGCCAGCCAGCCAGCCAGCCAGCCAGCAGCCAAGCCAAGCAACCAAGCAACCAAGCAAGCAACCAACCAACCAACCAACCAACCAACCAACCAACCAACCAACCAACCAACCAACCAACCAACCAACCAACCAACCAACCAACCAACCAACCAACCAACCAACCAACCAACCAACCAACCAACCAACCAACCAACCAACCAACCAAACCAACCAACCAACCAACCAACCAACCAACCAACCAACCAACCAACCAACCAACCAACCAACCAACCAACCAACCAACCAACCAACCAACCAACCAACCAACCAACCAGAATGAAAAAACAAACACACCAGCAAACAAACAAGGACATAATTCAAGAACAAGCCAACAAACAACAAAGCAAAGACGTGTCGAAACGGAGAAGCAAGAAAGAAACAACGCAAAGAAGCAAACAAGCAAATAAACGGAGAAGCGGAGGAACAGAGAAACAAGAGCAAACACAACAACAACCTACATGTTTCAGTCAACCAATCCATCCATCCATCCTTCCATCCATCCGTCAGTCCGTCCGTCCGTCCGTCACTCACTCACTCACTCACTCACTCACTCACTCACTCACTCAATCAATCAATCAATCAAGCAAACAAACAAACAAACAAACAAACAAACAATCTCTCATTTACTCAATCATTCACTCAGTCAGTCACTCGCTCACTCACTCACTCAGTCAGTCAGTCAGTCAGTTTGTCAGTCTTTGTCAGTCACTCAGTCAGTGAATCAATCAGTCAGTGAGTCAGTGAATCGGTCGGTCGGTCGGTGAGTCGGTCGGTTAATCAGTCAATCAATCAGTCAATCAATCAAGCAATCAATCAGTCAGGCAGTCAGTCAGTCAATCAATCAATCAATCAATCAATCACTATCAATTAGTCATTCAATGAATCCATCGCTTGATCGATCAATCAATCGAGCATATCAATCTGTATCAAACAGTCAGTTTCAATCAGTATCACTCAAACCAATCATAACCAGTCAGCAATCTGTATGAATCAGAATCAATCAACATCAGTCAACATCAATCACAGAAAACCAACATCATTTGTATATACTCAATCGACATCAAACAAAAGCAAACAAGGAGCAAGCAAGCAAGCAAACAAGCAAGCAGGCAGGCAGGCAAGCAAGCAAGCAAGCAAGCAAGCACGCGCACGCCAGCCAGCAAGGCACCCAGCTAGCAGCCAGCAAGCAAGCAAGGAAGCCACCGACCGACCGAGCTAGCGAGCAAGCAAGCAGCGCAAGCACCCAGGCAGGCAAACGGGCCAGCGGGCCAGCGCGCAAGGCGCAAGCCCTCACGCCCGCACACGCGCGCGCAAGCACGCACGCAGGCAAGCAGGCAAGCGCGCAAGCACGCAAACGCACGCAAGCACGCAAACATAAAAGTAAACAAGCACAAACAACAACACAATCAAACAAACAACCAATCAAGGAAAGAAACAAACAAGAAAGCAAAGAACGAAGTTAATCAGGAACAAACAACACCGAGCAAGCACACAAACAACAAACACGCACAAACACAAACACACAATTACAAACAAACAAGCGCAGAAACAAACAGCCAAACAAGTAAACAAACAAACAAACAAGAAAGCAAGCAAGCAAGCAAGCAAGCAAGCAAGCAAAGCAAGGAAGCAAGCAAAGCAAGGAAGCAAGCAAACAAACAAGCAAACAAGCACACAAACACACAAACAAACAAACAAACAAGCAATCAACCAAGCAAACAAGCAAACAAACAATCAAACAAACAATCAAACAATCAACAAACAAACAAACAAACAAACAAACAAACAAACAAACAAACAAGCAAACAAACAAACAAACAAACAAACAAACAAACAAACAAACAAGCAAACAAACAAACAAACAAACAAACAAGCAAGCAAGCAAGCAAGCAAGCAAACAAACAAACACATGAATGAAGCAACAGACCAACAGAAGAAGAAACAAACAATCAATCAAGCAACCATATAAACACGCAGGCAAGCCAGGAAGCAAGAGCAAGCATGAAACGAAGCAAGGAAGCAAGCAAGCAATCACGCAAGGACGCAAGCATGCAAGCAAGCATGCAAGCACGCAAGCACACATGCAAGAATGCAAGAAAGCAAGGGAACCACGTAAGGCGGCGAGCAAGCCAGCACGCGTGCACGCACTCGCACCTGCGCGCTTACATTCGCACGCATACTCACACCCATGCACGCACACTTACACAGACACACAGACACACAGACACAGAGACACACAGACACACAGACACACGCACACACACACACAGACACAGACATTCACGCGCACACACACACACACACGTCCTTACACAGGACTCATTTTAAAGGCTGTTTCTTGGATGACTACGGTGTTTGTCAGGGCTGTTTGCATGCCCAACCGTTTTTTCTCATTTCTTCCTTTGGAGGTAGATGCTCACCGGACATCGCGAAGGGAAGGTCCGTGACGCTGTTTCAATGACAAGCGGTTAGCCGGTTAGCGTCGCTTTCTACGGAATGTGGCAGGTTTGAAGAGATCCAGCACACCGTTTGTTCTTCAAGTTCTCTTGCTGGCGGCCGTGGTTCTACTTGGCTGCGCTACGATTATAAGCAGGCAAATCGCAGCTCAGCCGCTGAAGCGTACCTTAGTTGCAGCGTTAATGCTGTGTGTGCTTCGATGAGTTCGTGTGGATGCATGGCGTAGGCATTGCTGTACTCTGTTCCGGTTGGGAACTGAGTTTGGATTGCAAGGTTACACATCCGTGCTTGTCTTGTACACAGCCGTTATCTACCTGCCGCTCTACTGGCGTCCTGCCAAAAGTTACTTAAACTCCAGTCTGCGGCTTGTGTCCATAGTTGGGCAAAACATGTTTACGCAACCACACCCTGGCCACCTGCGAAGGGGGCACTAAAGGAGGTCGCTCGTTCTTAATATTTGTTTTAACGGCTTTTTTTTTCAGCAGTTTCCCTCGCCCTGAGGCTCATCCTTTTGCTGCTTTTGCTGACCGGGGCCGTGCCCTGGTCTCAACTTCGCTTTGTTTGGACGCGGCTCTCCGGACACGGCAGCTTCCCCGTTGCGTTCTTCGCCATTTGCGCGCTAGGCCTTGAGTGACTCTGTTTGAATCGACTGTGCCCACTGTTTGGGTTGATCTACCAAAACGGCTCAATCGTTGTGGAGACTGGACCTTTGCCATCTATCTCGGTGACAGGCGACTCTGTGGGAGACACGATTCAAGCGATTTGCGTGCCCCATGTCAGCGGTCCAGTTCACAGCCTGGCAAACACATGCATCTCGATCTTCATCGCCATGCTGTCAATGTGCCTCGCTGATGTGCTATTTCTGGGCGATGGAGGAGATAAACTCTTGAATTCGCCGAATGCGAGGTGCGTCTTCAATGAACGCTACTCCCTGACACAGTGCGCTGCGCTTCTAGCAGTCCAGCAGTCTCGTTTGTGGCTTGGGGGGAGACCTGAATATGATGCTCAAGCCCTAGCCGAGATTCGCCAGGTGTTTGCGGCCGTTGCATCTCGGCATGAATTGGTTGGCTGAGTTGGATGAGTTTCTGGCAGCTCAGGTCATAGGTTTTCTGCCATCTCTGGAAGGTAGCACTACTACGGATCCTGCTTTCGCCGTGATTGCTGGAGGCCTTGTCAGATGTGTGCGGAACAGGATCTCTGGGTTCCAAGCCTTGGTTTGCGCCCGCGTCAGGCAGCTGCTTCTTTTATGCAGTGGCCTGGATCAAGCCAGATGTTGTCAGTTGTGAGGAAGGGATCGCCGTGAATCAGAGCAGAAACACGTCATAGCTCCGCACTGTTGATGACTCTTTGAGGCTCGGGCAAGATATTCGGCGCAGCAGTTGTCTATTGTCCATTTGAGAGGGACATGGGGACTGAATGGGGACAAAGTGACAAAAGTAAATTCTCTGCAAAAAGTGAGACACAACTTTTCGGCCTCCAGGAACCGCAGCCAGTCTATCAGTGAGGGGATGACTGTGGCGGCGGTTAGCTTTGCCTCTTCCGCGTGTTCGGGCAATCGCAGTGCTGCCCTGCATTTCTCTTAATCAAGCAGACGTTTCCACAAAGCGAGAGTGCCACACAGTTTTTGCTCAGATGAGCAACTTCTGCACTTCCGGTGTGATAAATTGGCAGCGGGGGCATCCTCGTTTTGTGGGAGACCATGCCAGGTCAACAATATGGTAGTTATTGCCCTGCCCAGAGCAATCGGCGCCACAAGCCTTTGTTTTATTGCGGGGCTCGGGGCAAACAGATGCTGGTGGGCCGAAGTCGTGCCTTTTTCCAAAACGCATAGGAACTCTACATGTTTGAAGGGATAGGTTTCTGGGAGGCATTGCAGTTGAAAATGGCTATTCCGTTGGGTTTAGGATGGTTTAGGCACGTTCTCTCTTATCCGGCAAGGAGCGTTTACAGTGCGTTTCGCAATCTTGAGACACGACGTCTCTTTTGCTACAGCTGGTTCAGCTTTTCCTCTCACCTGGACTAACCTGGCGTGTGTGCAGGGCTGAGCGGGTGCGCTTGAGCGGGGGTGCTTACCGTTTGACTGGCGTGTGTGCAGCGCTGAGCCGGTGTGCGTGAGCAGGGGTGCTTACCATTTGGCTAGCGTGTATGCGCAGGGCTGAGCGGGCGTGCTTGCGCGGCTGGCGTTCGCAGGTGTGGAATCCAGTCGAAAAGTGGGTGTGGAAGTGAGTTGATGGGAGCGGGTGCAGAAGTGAGTGAACTTGTGGGCGCGGGTTCGGCACATGTGGGCCCAACTCTTCAACGGACAATCGGTGATCTCGTTTTGATCTCGTTTTCATCTCGTTTTGATCTTGTTTTTTTTGCCAGGGTGCATGGCGTATACGCCTTCCTGCCTTCCAGAGAAAGAACTCCAGGACGTGAAAAAGACGGTGCAAGAGCCGGCAAAGGCCACCCATTGTACCATGTCTTCCTAAACTCTCCTGCAGCAACCTATCGTACGCTTAGCGTTCCATTGGTGTTCCTGCACACGCCTCGCGGGGCTAGAAAACATGCTTTGCCATGATTAGCGCTCCATTGTGTTTCAGTGTGGCCCCGGTGTTTTTTAGCATGATCTGCTCGGTAACGTCAAGCGTTCCATGGGGATTGTTGCCGAGGCGTGACTTTGGAGTGACTTCTTGGAATCGGCGTTTACATGGGGGAACACATCGCCACAGAGATAAAGGAGTGACTTAGGCATGACTTTGTCGTTTGCCTGTAGTATGTGGGCCAACAGGCTCCGCTTGCTAGATGCAGCCCTGCGCAACTCAAATACCTTTCTAACCTATTGGGGCTGCTTCCGCCGAATCGCGCAACTCTGCAGCGACTGTAATTTCGAGTGCTGGGCTGCGACCGCGACTGGACGTCAGGGACTGGTTGTTTGCCCGTACCTAGGTCTCGTTTGTGGTCAAGGAATTGGTCTTCAAGCGGTTCAAGGTGAGACGTCATCACGGGAACATGCTGGCAAGCGTGCTCATTCCGTGCCAGGTCTGGCAAGCGGAGAGCCATTGCGGTGATGCCGGCCTGAACATTTTTGTAATGAATGCGCATTTGGCTCTTTTCCAGCCCCTCGATGAGCTGAAGCCAAGATGTATGTGGCAGAGAGAGGGCAGCGCGTGTGATAGTGTGACCTGCGGCTAAGGCTTCCTTTGACGATTCTTTTGATACCATTGAATGAGCTTTTGAAGCAGACCAACGGTGAAGGACCAATTTGACGTTGGCGTGGAACGCGATGCGCAGCTTCAGTTTAGCCGATGTTCGCTTCTCTGCGCAGGAATTTTTGCCTACTCGAAAGAAGCGTTCGACTGTGTCTTCTATGATGCACATAGCTGCGGGCCAGAATCCAATCATGGGGAGCTGGCAGGTCTATGTGTTTTGACAGCAAGCCTTATCATTTTTCATAACTCGGCCCTCTCTTCTTAATCAAACCATGGGCATGTTTCAGGGGGGACAAACGTTGGGCTTTTGATTTCCTGCCAACCGCAGGGCCCCGCCATTTTCATTTCCACGAGCCATTGAATACTGGATCAACCCGTGAGTGAGGTGTCGGCGTTTGCGTCGCGGTCACGGTGCTCTGGAACTTGATGATCGTGCTGTGCGTGAAGCACACGGGGGCACTGGCCACCAACATCGCTTTGAAGGCCATCTTCCCGGCGCCTCGCCCGCAACTTTTCAGGACGGGACAACTTAGGCATATATGGTGATGAGGATGGATTTCCATGGATACAGCATCCATTTGCCTCTGTGGTTTTGGGTGGGTTGGGCTCGTTCTTTTTCTTGCTCTCAACTTGAGGGGTCTCAGCTAGATGAGGTATCCGCGGTGCTCTTTGCCTATGTTGACTGGCCTTTGCTCGGCCCAACCCGCTGCTGGGCTTGGTTCGTGCGAGTTGCATGAACGCAGCATGCGTTTTTTTGCGAGCAAGCGCTTTGTGACGCAGAGGCCTGTCGTGGTTGGTCTGGCTATCCATCCTGTTGCTGGTTCCCTCCATTGGAGCCTATCAGTGGGCCACACACGTCCAGGCCGAGCCACGCAGACGTGCATTGGGGTTTGAAGGTTCGCGCGTGCGTGGTGCCAAGGCTCAACGTGGTGAGACTGCTCGATGCTGCCTGCCCTCGCGGCCTCCAGGGCTGCTGGACTGATTCGAAGCGGGAAGCGCACCGGTCGTGGCGCGCGCCATGGGAAGCGGCGGGCGATGCATGCGCCCGACCGACCTCAAGGATCGCATTGCCTTCGACCTCAAGGATGTCGGTGTCGTACCTTCAGAAAAATCCATGAAGCTATGCACTTGCTTGCGCATTATGCGAGAGAGTGGTGTGTAGAGAGCACGACATTCACGTTGTTCGATCAACCTGCATTTGGCTCACGTCCTGAATACTTCTTGGCACTTCATGTGCAGTTCACTGGAAAGCCGGTAGATCAGTTGTCACTTGGTGTTGTTGCAGCCGGTTTTAATGCGCCCTGACGGTTGCATTCCAAACAAACAGTGTGACACTCCATGGATTTGCCTAGGTCCACGAAGTATTGCAAACCTCCACTTTGCTTTTGTTCGTTCTTGGCACGATGGCTCCAGCTTCTGAGTATCCCCGAAAGCTGGATCAAATCTTGGACGCCTCAGATATTGAGTACTTGAAGAAGTTCTTTCATACGCAAGTTGAGACGGAATGGGAAAGGAACGAGGGGTTGGCGAAAGCGCGGGGTCTTCCCAAACCGCGGCGCTCCCTGGAGTATTATACCCTCTTGAGGCAGCTGCAAGGCAAGCCCAGAGATGCAAGCTTGGAAAGGATCATCTCCAAGCTCTACGCCGTCATTGAGAAGCAGTTTGGCCCCGGCTTCGTGATTGTGCATGACTTTTGGTCATGGCGCACTGCCCAGAATGTGCCAGCAGAGTTCATACACCATGATCCGGATTTTTGGGCCACGGGACACCATGATGGGTTCAACTTGTGGATTCTGCTGGACCACAAAAACATGGCCCACTCTTTCGACATCTTCTTGGAGCAGGACAATCCGGAGCTGTACAGGATTGTGAAGAACAAAGCTGGCCGTCTCTTGCCAGAAAAGTCGGGTGCCCGCCTCACAGAGTGCCCAGGAGTCTTGTTTTGGGATCCCTTGAGCTGGTGGCCGGTGCTCTACGAGTGGCCTTATACCCGGACCTTGGCGATGGTCATGGGGGTTGCTCTCAACAAGTTCTGGCAGAAGTCCCAGAATTGCATTATGTACCTGAAGCAGAGACTTCCCACCTGGAGCTTCCGTTGTGTCTTGGGCTTGACAGGTTGGTTGTTCCGGCTGACTCCACTGCCTGCTGGCTTGGTGTTGAAAACCCAGCGCTTTGGGCTGGAGGTGGGTGATGCTTTGGTGCTCCGACAGTATGAGTTGCATACCACAGACCAGGACAGGGTTGGATCAGGATTCTTATCCCCACTGTAGGAAATCTGCCCATGGGGGGGGTTAGTCTGTGGGGTTTGTATCACAGTGGATTCCATTTTCCACGCTGGACCAGGATCCATTGCAAGACCATCAGTTTCGCTTGGCGGTGGGTGTCAAAGTGGTGCGTCAGGGCCCGATCGTCCAGTATTGCTACACAGGCCTGGTTTTTTATTTTCATCCGAAATGGTTTTAGTAGTTGCGACCCAACTAATCAAGAGACACGGCTTTCATTTCAGGCCCAAGTGATCTTTGATTCTATGTCCGTTTTGATGTTCGTTTCGGGAACCCCATGCCCATGGGGTGGCATGAGGGCCCCGGTTAGAAGCGCGTCCAAGTCAGGCCCCGCCTCCAGAATCCGGCGAAATTACCCCTGCCTCCGCTGGGGACTCGGGCAAGTGCTCCCAGATTTCTATCGCTGCGAGCTGGACATGGTGCCAAAGCTGGCCCACTGGCACATTTTGCTGTTTTCTTCTTCTCAATTTTTGCCACCGCTTTTTTGGCGCTGGTTGGTTGGTTGGTTGGTTGGTTGGTTGGTTGCTTGCTTGCTTGCTTGCTTGCTTGCTTGCTTGCTTGCTTGGTTGCTTGCTTGCTTGGTTGGTTGGTTGCTTGCTTGCTTGCTTGCTTGCTTGCTTGCTTGCTTGGTTGGTTGCTTGGTTGGTTGGTTGGTTGGTTGGTTGGTGGCTTCCTGGTGGGATGGTTGTTTGCCACTGGGCTGAGGAGCCTTACCCAGAAACGTGGCTCACGCGCTTCCTATTCTCCGCTACAGCTGAAAAGGCCCTGGGCGACTCCGGTGCGAAGGCGGCAGAATCGGCTTGCAAGCTGCAGCTATGAGGTGAAATCGCATTTTTCAATCGCAGAAGGCTTCGGCAAGATGAGCGCAGTCGGGTGGCAAACGGCAAGGGACAAGATGAAAGATGCCAACAAACTATTGTCTCTGAAAAGGCGCCAGTGGACCTGGCCTTTGTCGTAATAAGTCATAGGCAGGTTGCCATAGCGCCGAATGTGGGTCGAAAAGAAGACCTAGTCGCACGATTTCTCGAGCAATCCATTGCAGGGTTGGGATTGCAAATCCGTGCTGCAAGGTTCACAAGAACTATGGTTGTGGTTCACCACAGGTGCCATGGCCATTGCACATGTTGCAGACCCTGCTTTCCCTGTCTCCAGTTCACCCTCCTGTAAGGTCTAGGTCGAACCCGTGCAATAAATTCTGGTGAACGGGTTCCATGTGTTTCATATTCTTCGCATCCAACGTCGGAGCCCCTTACAACTTGGTCACCCCGGAATGGTCAAGGAATCATCGCCCGAGCTCCTCCCGAGGTCTTCGGGGAGGAGCCGGAGCCGCCCAGCCGGGAGGACGACGGAAGGCTGCCAGTGGCGCTGAGGCTGAAGCATGGCAAGGAGCGTAGAGATGGCTGTGGGTCAAAACCAATGGTACCATTTTGGGGTAGGTGCACCAGCCATTGGTGGGGATATGGATGGTGGTAGGGGCTTTTGAGCCACAGCCAGATGTTGGGACTTGTTTGATTGTCTCGTCTAAAGTTTGGTGTGCTTTTCGCTGCGGTTGCAGTGGTCGCGCAGAAGGGGGGGGCGGTTGTGAGCAGCTGTTGTACGGGAATTGAAGAAGGACTGCCAAGGACCACCCAAGATGGAACATGCAGACAGTGTAGGAAAGATGTGTGAGCTTGACGCTCTGAAGCAAGACGAGCACTCCGACACAGAGAAATTAAGTGTGTGTGCGTGCGCTTTCAGATTGGTTCAAAGGGAAAACCAAACAAAGGCCACCATGTGTTGGGCCCCCCTATTGTTCTGTTCTTTCGCGGACAATTCGGTTCTCGCAGTCTTAGAGACTTTGGGGGAGGAGATATTTGGATGGACGCTGCACTTGGTATATGACTGGAGTGTCAGTTGGGAGAGTGCTGGAGTTTGTGGGCAACTAGTGAGTTTGGATGTTTAAACCATCGTCATCACATCCCCGCCTTTTCCCAAAAGGAAAGTCAAGTTTGGAAACCACCAAATCAGCTTCCCTAACTGAGAAACTGGTGGTTTGGTTGTGCTGGTTTTCCAGTGAACAAGAACCGGGGGTTCAAGTTAGTTCCCAACCCACCAATCCAACCCAATCAAGGGGAAGCCGGCTGTTAATGGGGAAGCACCTAACCCATTGGATTCTGTCCATGGGGTCCTTTCGGACCCACCAATCCTCGGAGGAGCATTCCCGTCTCAACTGGGTGGGGATGCCCTTGGCGCGCGACATCCCCCTCAAGATGGTCCCGGACTACGAGCATGGCAACCCCATGTTTGCGGAATGAAAAAAAGAGGCACCAATTTGGGTGTGGCCCAAAATTGGAGTGCTGGGGTTTCGCAGGTTTTAGTCTTTGGTTCCACTTTGCAAGGTAAATCAAGGTGCGATTTTGGCACATGTTTTCGAGCCAAAGCCATTTGCTGTGACCCGCCCTTCGGTGTCTTGCGCGTTTCTAGCGACAATCAATGCAACTCCAAGCATGCGCATCAGGCACGCAAAGATGCAACTCGTCAAAAGCATTTGCCCCGCCGCGTTCCAACTTGTATACTTGGTTTTGAAGGGTACCTTTGTTTTGGCGTTGGTTTAACGGGACACCGTAAAGCTACTATTTCCGAGGTCCCCCATTCTGACACATCGGGTCCCTTTTTTGTGTTTGGCCACCGATTTCATGGCCACTGACACAGTGTCAGCTCGCGAGCAGCATGCCCATTAAATGTTCAAGACTCCAAGAACCCGCCAACATACCTTGTGAGCATACGTCCTTTCAGATGGCGTACCTCGGGGTTTCATTTGGGTTCTTTTGAGAAGCTCAAAAGTTTGGATTCTTGGAGAAACATCGGCTTGGGGAAAGCTGTCTCTTTTTCCATGGGGAGTTCGAAGAAGTCGCCTGTCCCAAGCGTGGCTTCGGTTCCAGGCCCAGGCTTGCATGAGCAGCACCCACTCAACCACGGCCATTCAAGCAAGGATGATGAGGCACCATCCTGGCATAGAACCACACCACTCTTCCCATTCCAGAATGCTACTCATGCTGGTTCCTCTGTTTTGCCATGGGCCAGGAGTCTCACCATTTTTTTTTCCGGCCCGGCAGCTCCCCTCGAAGTCTTTCGGGCGAACCGCTCCGCTCCCATTTTCCCATTTTCCGGCTGGGGGTCAAGTCATGGAGCCATGGACTCGCTGGAGAAGCTCCAGCGGGATCTCGGGGAGTTCACCGCGCGGGCGCTGCAAAAAGCGCTGCAGGAGCCGAGAGCCGGGTGCGCCGAAACGGCGCGGCGACGGGCGTATTTTGGGCGTGGCCATGGTTCAAAACCCTTCTATTTTAGTGGGGATTGGGATGTTCACTGGGGGTACGATTTGGGTTTGGACCCATGGCCGTGTGGAGGAAATGGACTTGCAGGAATTGTCTCTCGAGGTTTTTGGCGTGGGCAGGGTACCTGATTGTGAATGTAACTTTCGGATGAAATGGGGGTTGTCCTTTTGGGACCAATTGGCATGAGGCTGGCAAGGGTTAACGACTCTGTATTAGGATTGCAGAGTTCAACAACCGAATGCTAGGTCGACAAGACCAATCATGCACTTATTGTTGTAGGGACTACTCTGGACCTGTCGCCACGATGAATCTGCCAGCCAATTGGGTGAAAGAGGGACCCACTTCAGCCCCCTTTTGTGTCCAGAAGGGTCCACCTTTTGGCATCGCACCAGTTTACCCAAATGTTACGCAGCTCTTCTCCCGAGCCGCGCACGTGTTTATAGCAAAGCTTGTGGCTCAAGACATTGGTGTACTCGGCAATCACATCTGATGTATCAAAACGCCCCTCTAACTGGCTCTTGTTCAGCGCATCTCAAAGAGAGGTATGCAGCCAGGTTTGGCACCGTCTGTTTCCGCGTGTCAACACGGCTTTGGATTGGCCGCGCTGAAAGGTAACCTCATGCAAGCACTTGCAGGTTCCTCTGTGGAAGGGAGATCGGTTGCCTGCTTTGCCAATAAAATCACCCCCTGTTTTTGCCATTGGTACAATGGCAATCTTGAGTGGTTGCGGACAAACAAGGCAACTCACTTCTTCCAATATCAGATCAACCTGTGAGTTGCACCATCAAAACACTGATCCATTTAGAAGGTTGGCCGCCATTTTTGGGTCATCCACAACACACGTCGAAATTCGGCCGAAATTGGCGGCTCCCCGCCCTAGCCCTCCAACCGGGGAGCGGCCCGCCAGGAGCTGGGGCACCTGGCGGTGTCTGGGGGGCACCTCGCCAAGCGCCTCGCGCTTTCGTTGGAGCAGGAGACGCGGCAAGCGGATGGGCGGGTTTTGTCACGCGGGAGCTTGAGACCCTGCCGAGGAAGGGGTATGCCCTGTTGGGACTCTTTCGGAGGATTGCTGGGTCAACGGGTTTGTTTGGTCAAAGTCTTCAGTAGTCTATGCTTCATTCAGAAAGAGACGAGAAGGGGACACTCACTAAATTTCAACCACCAAACCTGGGGATGAGCCCCCATTTTGCCATGTCCTCTTTGACCGCTCACATCTTTGCCCTTGACCAGGTTTGATGATGGTAGAACATAACATCTGGATGTATCATTGACAAAGAAATGGGTGATGAAAAAATTGAGGGCACTGCTCACCAGTCGCTGTTCCTTTGCTTGGCGTAATCATCAAATAATGATAGAAGGTGATGACTGAGGCGCAGCATTTACACTTACACTTATTCCATGGTTAGATTGTTTTCGGAGGGCGGGGGAAATGGGCAACCCCAACCCTCCAGCCTTTTCCCATTCAGCTTTTTCGCGAAACTCGTCACCTTCTGGCGTCCCCCAATCATAGGAAAGTCCGGAACCACCGAAAACAACAACAACAACAACAACAACAACAACAACAACAACAACAACAACAACAACAACAACAACAACAACAACAACAACAACAACAACAACAACAAACAACAACAACAACAACAACAACAACAACAACAACAACAACAACAACAACAACAACAACAACAACAACAACAACAACAACAACAACAACAACAACAACAACAACAACAACAACAACAACAACAACAACAACAACAACAACAACAACAACAACAACAACAACAACAACAACAAACAACAACAACAACAACAACAAACAACAACAACAACAACAACAACAACAACAACAACAACAACAACAACAACAACAACAACAACAACAACAACAACAACAACAACAACAACAACAACAACAACAACAACAACAACAACAACAACAACAACAACAACAACAACAACAACAACAACAACAACAACAACAACAACAACAACAACAACAACAACAACAACAACAACAACAACAACAACAACAACAACAACAACAACAACAACAACAACAACAACAACAACAACAACAACAACAACAACAACAACAACAACAACAACAACAACAACAACAACAACAACAACAACAACAACAACAACAACAACAACAACAACAACAACAACAACAACAACAACAACAACAACAACAACAACAACAACAACAACAACAACAACAACAACAACAACAACAACAACAACAACAACAACAACACCAACACCAACACCAGCACACAACAACACCAACAGCCAACACCAACACCAACACCAACACCAACACCAACACCAACATCACCACCAACAACAACAACAACAACAAGAAGAACAAGAACAAACAAGAACAAGAACAAGAACAAGAACAAGAACAAAAACAAGAACAAGAACAACAAGAACAACAACAACAACAACAACAACAACAACAACAACAACAACAACAACAACAACAACAACAACAACAACAACAACAACAACAACAACAACAACAACAACAACAACAACAACAACAACAACAACAACAACAAACAACAACAACAACAACAACAACAACAACAACAACAACAACAACAACAACAACAACAACAACAACAACAACAACAACAACAACAACAACAACAACAACAACAACAACAACAACAACCACCACCACCACCACCACCACCAACAACAACAACAACAACAACAAAACCACAACAAACCAACAACAACAGCAACAGCAACAGCAACATCAACAGCAACAGCAACAGCAACATCAACATCAACAGCAACAGCAACATCAACAGCAACAGCAACAGCAACAGCAACAGCAACAGCAACAGCAACAGCAACAGCAACAGCAACAGCAACAGCAACAGCAACAGCACAGCAACAGCAACAGCAACAGCAACAGCAACAGCAACAGCAACAGCAACAGCAACAGCAACAGCAACAGCAACAGCAACAGCAACAGCAACAGCAACAGCAACAGCAACAGCAACAGCAACAGCAACAGCAACAGCAACAGCAACAGCAACAGCAACAGCAACAGCAACAGCAACAGCAACAGCAACAGCAGCAGCAACAGCACCAGCAACAGCAACAGCAACAGCAACAGCAACAGCAACAGCAACAGCAACAGCAACAGCAACAGCAACAGCAACAACACAACAACAACAACAACAACAACAACAACAACAACAACAACAACAACAACAACACACCACCACCACCACCACCACCACCAGCAGCAGCAGCAGCAGCAGCAGCAGCAGCAGCAGCAGCAGCAATAGTAATAATAAGAATAATAATAATTATAATAATTAAAACATGTAATTTTAGGCTTCCTCCCCAGTTGGCTTGACGAGTTTCCGTTTGGACCTACTGGGCGGAGCCAGGAATGGCCGGAGGCCATTGCATGGCTGGCACCCCAGCCTTCCGTCCGATTTTCGTTTCAATTTGTAAGATATTGAAATCACAAGGATAGAACGCGGGTTTCGTTTCCCTATCTTCCCTCCTGGAAACCAGGGTCATTGGAGCAACTCCCATGGCCAACCAACGAAAGGAGCCAATTGGAGCCATGAAGCAAGTGACGAAATGAGTTGATGGTTCTCTTCTGGCTTGCCCGCCTGTTGTGATGTGCCCTTCTTTCGTCGTGTTCTTTCTTTATCTTCTTGCTCCTGTGCTTCTTCCGCTTCGCCTCTTCCTCGTCTTCGTTTGTTCCTTCTTCTCCCTTTGCTTCTTTGGTCCAGGAGTTTCGAAGACGCTAAATGTCGGCCCGCCTCCCCAAAGCCGGCAGCTCCCCGTTGGTTTCCATTCAAAGCAACCAACTAAAATCAATTCCGAAGAAGAGACGCCCGTCTGGACCAAAAGCCATGGCTGGCCGTGTGACCTTCGCCCTTAAGACCTTTTGTAGCCAAATGCAACACCAATGGTACCATGTTGGGGTAGGTGCACCACCCAATGGCCTCTACTGTAAACCTCTGAAAGCTGGTTGACCTTTTGCTCAGGGGGATTCTTGGAGCCACCCAGCAACCTGAAAAAATGCCGGGTGTTTATCTCTCCGAGCAGATTTTGAGCCTCCAGAAGTCGTTTTAACCCGAGGGTGGTGGTGGCATCCGGACCTGCCTGGCTGTTGCACCTCCTGGTGGTCCGCAGGTGGGATGTGCGATGCGAACTGACAGTTTTTGAGAATCACCGGGGTAAATGCAGGTTGACCCCACCAGAAGGTGTGTTGAACTCTTTCCATGGTGTGGACCAGTTTAATGCCCAAGTTTTGATTATGACTCTTCCGGGGGTGAAAGACTGAGACAGGGTTGTTGCCCTGTTGGCCAAGTTTTCCTCACCTTCGGGGCCCTTTAGTATCAAAGGGTCATTAGCCTGAAACTTGGGGAACCTACTCCACTGGAGGGGTGGCTTTGGTGGTAAAATCATGGCAAGAGTTGAGGGATTTCATGGGCCAATCCAATTCTCCAACCAAAAGCCAAGTGAAGGTTTGAAAGGGACAGCGCCTTTGCCATACAACAATCATGTGCGTGAAAGCCCCCCCTGTTTGATTGTTTGCCATGTACCTGCTATAGTTTGGCCAATGTCGATGGGTTTGGCTTCTCCTTGAAAATGGTGGGTTTCCCTTTGGTTTCCCTTTTTGGCACCACCGCAAGTCGGGATTTCTCCCCAACAAACCGACGCCTCTTGGTCCCCTTCGCACGCGCTCCGCCAGGCCGCGGTGCTCGGCGGCGGGGGTGCTGGCGTGGTCTGGCTGGTTGGGCCTGCAGGCGCGGGCTCCCAAGCGAGGGGGAGGTGCGGTAGAAAGCGTGTTGACCCCATGAATGACCCCATGAATAACCCCGTGCTATTGATTGTGGGGGGGTGGTCCACCAGGGATTTTTTATTCCCATGAACAACTCTGCGCAGGATTTTGAGATGGCTTGGGAGGAATCAGGAAAGCGGATAGTAAGCAGTCCACCCCCCTGTAAGCACTGCGATCACCCGCAGACCATCTAAGTGGGGGATTGGTGCGTTGGCGGTACCTCGTGTTGACCTCACTGGCTCCGCTTATGCATATGTTGACCACGGAGTAATAAGACCTGCGTTTTTACGGGGAACATCTCCCCAAAGGTGAAGGTTGCCCTCCAGAAAATGGGACAACCTTTGAGAAATCAAGCAACAGTTTATGAACCTGGGTATGCGAGCCAAACTTGGTGCCTATTTCAATAAGCAGGCGCTTGCATATCGCCGGCTTCATTGAACTCAGTTTCACGTGGCCTGAATTGAACACTCACGCTGGGCTTAGATTGCATTCATTTCGGGTTGTGACGCTCCCCGAGGTCGAGTTGCTGTGTTAGTTGCCTGCTTTGGTGTTGGGAAGATAGAGTTCTAAGAGGTCAACATGTCAGCAGTTGATGGTTCAGAAGCTTGCAGCTGCAGTCCTTGAAATCCATCACTGTATGACTGCTCCTTTTGCCCAATACGCCGTGTCCAAGTCCAAGCCACTGATGTTTGGTGTTCGTTAGATGCCTGGCTGTTTGGGCAGCAACTTTCAAGGTGAATCAGCGGCATCCTGATGTGAGCCCTTTGCATTCGATAGCCTCAAAGGCACCAACTCAGCAAAGCTTGCCCAACCCTCAGGCGCACCCTAAGCGCTCGGAACTTCGGGAGCTGAGTGTCAGTTGGCAAAAAAAAGAACGCGAGGGACTCGCGTGGAGCAACCCCCCCCCCCCCCCGATTTTGGGGAAAGGTCTACCGAGTCATCGACGACGAGTCTTGATTTACGCTGGCGGCTCGCGGCTCGCGGCTCGCAGGTCTACGCCAAGGGCCCCACGGTGTTGGAAGCGACCCGGGACCGCGGCATCGCCGCCGTGCAGGTGAGAACGGGGAGAGGGGGGGAGGGAAGTTCGGCACGAAGGGGTTGCTGTCTGGAAAGGGGAAGTGTAGGGAGGTGAAAACCAGGGTCAGACGACTGAAACCCAGGGCGGTTTGCAGGTGAAGGCAATAGTCAGTTTCACATGTTTGAGGTGGCCGAGCTTGCCAAGCATGTTCAAACGAGGGATTGGCCCAACCTAGATTGATTCTCCTGCAGCAAGCGTGCAATCCTTCATGTTGAGGGATCTAGCTTGCCAGGCAATGCGGGCACGCGTGTTTCGGCTACCCTGCCCTGCTCGAGGATTGTGTTGAAGTGTGACTTGTTCCTTCCTCATGATAAGCCAACAAACGGCAAGGGTTCGATCTTGTGCTCGCCTGGTGGTCTATTTTGCAGGGAGACGCTCTGCTCCAACCATGCACTGGTACAACATAAACATGCCAACACCGGGATTCCTTGGCATGATATCAGCCATTTGGAAGGGTCTTCACTTCAAAACAACCCAGTTTAAGGGGATTCTCCTGCTAGGCTTGGGTTGGGACTACATTTTCACATTGTCATTTCTTTGTAAGCTGAAAAGGGAGGTCCAAACTTCGGGATGCGGGGAGGGGTTCCTGTTGGCAAAAGCGAGTCGCTCGGCGCATTTCCGCCAGGCGACGCGGGAGGTTGTACAGAAGTCGGTGGTCATGGTCCAGGCTGGGCTCCGCGGTGACTTGCTTGGAACACCCAAAATGGGCTGGTGGTTGTCCTGACAACTTTGACTGACAATTATCATCATGCCAAACACTGATGCTTAGATTCATGTATCCATTGTTGTCTTTGTCAGACAGTCTGTCTTGTTTTGTTTTGTTTGTTTTGTTTTTTTGGTTTGGTTTGGTTTGGTTTGGTTTGGTTTGGTTTGGTTTGGTTTGGTTTGGTTTGGTTTGGTTTGGTTGTTTGTTTGTTTGTTTGTTTGTTTGGTTGTTCCCCAGATAGCTGAAAGCTATAGGGGTTCCAACTTCTATTAAAGAGGGGAAAGTGATTTGCGAGATTGATGGGCTGGTGCTAGGGGGCGGGCAGTTTGGGGTGCTGTTTGGGGCGCTGCTGGAGGTGCTGGTGAGATTGACGGCGCTGGGTGCTAGCGGGCTCGCAGGGTGACAGTGCGGGCACATTTTTTGCAAGATTGACCGTAGGGTGCAAGGGGGCATGCAGTTTGGGGTGGTGGTGTTTTGGGATGCTGTTTGGGGTGCTGTTTAAGGTGCTGGTGCTGGCGCGGGTGCATTTTCGCGAGATCGACGGCGTCTGAGTGCTTTGGGGGTGCTGTTTGGGGGGACGGAGCGGTGCATTTTTGCGAGATTGACGGCAGGGAGCTGATTGGGGCGCTTGCCGGGATTGTCTATGCTGGTGTAATTTATCTATTAAGCACTCGAAATGGTTGGCAGATGCATAGAGTTGCATGTATGATGTCCACCAAAGCGTCCCCAAACTCATACTCGTTTGGCTGTGATGAACCGTACGAACTAGGGACCCTTTGTGGCAACTGATCCTCCTGAACGCGGAACATTGGGGGGGATGCAGCCCTGCTGAAATCAGCTTGTCGTCTTTTGCACCATCACCTTTTGACCAAATCAATGCTCATTTTCACCAGTCGAGTGGTATTCATCACAGTCATTGGTTTCCTTGGGTTTTAGTTTTTCCCGTTGCTGTCGCGTTGCCCCCCCTGCAAATTCATGACGCTCCCCCCCAAACAAAAGAGCACACAATAAACAAATAAAACACAAGTCATGTTTGTTTTTTCTCCCCTGAGGAGTTTCCTTTTTGGGAACCCACTTTTTGGGTTCCGTGATCATTGGTTGTGGATGTCAATCACGTGTCTCTGAGCCGAGGCTTGGATCGTGGTCTTCCTCCCATTTGTGAGCGATGTGTGGAGGCGTGAACCGTTCCGAGGTGGGCTCCACTTTGGGCCCGGACGGGTCGGTTCGGGAAACCAAAGGGAAGCCCAAGCAAACCCTTTTGGGCTTGCCTCTATCAATTGCATGCCTTCAAGTAAATTGGTGGTAAAGAGTTACTGTTACAGGCAAGGCTTCAAGAATACCCCTACTTGCAAAGGGGGCCAACCACTGAGATCCAACTGTGACTGGTTGGATGCCCTCGATGACACAATCCTGGAAAATGGGAAACCAGAGATGTCCTTGTTCTCCAATTGCAAGATTCAAAAATCCGTCATATCTCCCAGTGAAGCGCCGCGCAAATTTGGAACTGGCTGTCACCTTGGTAAAAAGAGCTCACTCATGCTGGAGGCTTTACTTGCACAATCCTTAATTCAGGTTGGTGAATGATAGCATCAAACAACTGCCGGGCGTCTCTTTTTTTGAGGGTACCCTCAACTTGCGTGGCGTTAACGGGGAACCCACAGGTAAACTCGCTATGTGTTGGGTCTCCGTATTTTTGACCCCCCCCCAAAAAAAAGTTGCGCCTCCCTCGTTTTCCAGGCCATCCACCCCGTTTGCTCATGGGCAGGCATGCTAGCTCCACCTGGCGCCTGCTCAGCTTCCGCGCGCGGGTAGCCCGGGGCCAAGGGGGCCTTAGAGCTGCGAAGGGAAGGGGTTTGGAGCAAACATGTTTTTCGGGGCTAAGCAACCCTGAGCCAATTCTTATTAACTCTTCACCAACCTTGAGACAACTTTTCACCAACCCAACCCTCACCAACCAACAACTTCACACTGCACAAGGGGGGTACCATGGTGGGGGGACGGGGAGTAGCATGTATGAGGGTTTCTGAAGTTCAATGTGATGTGTCCTGGGTAGGTGTGTGGCTCGCGAATAGGGTGGCTGTAGTCTGGTTTGTTTGAAGCAGGGCTGGCGGCTTTTCCTTTTGTTTAGTGATGGCTGAGAATTTGAATGGCTTTTCGTGTCAAGGAAGAAAGGTTCTCGGTTTGAAGCGTGGATTGCTATTGCGGTTAATGTTTGGAAGGGGATGGCTGGAATACCCCTGCGTTGGACTCTTGCCCCTCCCTATCAATGGATGAAACGTTGGCCAACTACCACACAAAAACAGAAGTGGTGACCTTAGACGACAGCAAGCCAAAATCAAGCAACGGACTGAGCTGCACTTCCGAAATTTGTTCAAGGGAAACAGCCTTTCAAATTGCGGCTGAGCATGGGGCTCTCTGCGTGCGATTCAGCGGGGATCATTTGTGGCACCGAGGCGCTGGTGGGCGGCCCCGTAACCATATTCCTGCTGGCGATGGCCTACCGCAGGTGACTCGAGGGGACGGGATTTTTTGCCTCTATGGCGAAAACGAGCTCATGAAGATCCTTCGACCGCAAATTCCCTGATTTCAGGTGTTGGAAGGATTGCAGCAAATCAAGTCTGTCCATGAACATTTGAGGGTATTCCCCAACAAAAGTCCCAGCCATGTGATTTCCAGGCTCAAAACACCGCCAGGGATGGACATCAGCCCTGGAAGTTTCCGGTAAATTTTGCAGGGAGATGGGGGGATGAGGTGCTCACTAAATACAACAGCTTGTTGCTGGTCATCCAACCTCCAGGGGTTTTAAGCATCAAATACAAAGCGCTTGTTTTTTAGAGCCATGACCATGACCCACAATTCGTGGAGTGTTGGCCACATATTTGAGAAACATGCTGCAAAGGGAGGGTGGGAGTCTTGTTCATTTGTCGGCTTGATTTTTCTGGGTTTGGCTCATTCTTCTTCGGGTTTGGCTGGTTCTTGGAAAGGCTTGATCTGATTTGTTGAGGTAAATATATCCCCGGCGTAGGAGCTGTCCACATTTCCGATTTGTGCTCAGTGCCGAGACGACCCAGGGAAAGCGGGTAGAAGATGAAACCACCGGGAATCGGAACCACTGGAATTTTCGTCCTTTCCCATTTGCCATGCCATTTTGGGGTCACCCTATGTTTGACAACCACAGCCGGCACCGGTGGGTGCCACTTTTCGGGGGGCCGGGGGGTTCGAAGCGAAGCGCCAGGGTGGCTAGAGCCTTCCGGGAGCGTCGGGCGGCCATGGAGCGGGTGGTCAAGCGCGGGACTCGAACGGGGAAGCAGTTGCGGCCAAAACCCCCCCGGCTGCCCACTTGGTGTGTGTGTGTGTGTCTTTTTTGTTGGGGGGACCCCTCAATTTTTATTTTTATTTTTTTTCTGTTTCGGTTTCCCTTTAAACCCACCAAACAATGGGGTGCCCTCAAAAAGAGACACAGCCACTTTGGCAAAGGGCTATATGCTCACTCTTAGCAGAGATTCGGACGGGGTGTTTCTTTTTGCTCGAATGGCTTGGCCTTGTTTTTCGTCCGGTTCCGCTTCAAGGGGCACTTGCCATAAGTAGCCCCAAGAGCAACCCGCTCGAATACCAATTGATAGCCGGCATGGGCGTTCCGAGGGCGGTGGCGTTTCATGGCTCCTTCGCGCTGGTGTGCTATCCGCTTTGGCGCATGGCAGGCGAGCGAATCGGGGTGCTGGGGAGAACCATGGAGTATGAGGGTGACTTGGTTGGTGGACACCATTTACATGGGGATGTGTCCACCAAGCTCAAATTTGGTGCTCCCCAATGGATATTTATGGCATGCCGTTCACGGCTTGCCAACTTGCTATTTGCGAACGATACTGAGAATTTGCCTTTGACCTCTGGCCAGGATGCACTTGCACAGCTGGCCGCATGTCTAGGTCCCCCAGTAGTGCCCTTTTACCCTTTTTTGGGGGAGGGTTCCCCTACTAAAATAGACTACAGAAAAAGGGTACCCTTATTCTAGCCTCTCTACTGGAGGACCTAGATGTTGATTGAAAACAACGGGAGCTGAGCGGAGCGCGTCTCGGGCCAGGCTTCCTCTCGCCCAACTGGCTCTACTTCACCCTGCGCCATTTGTTGTCGACCGCCGGGCCGCCCATGTGCTTCACATTTGCACGAACAAGCGCTGCCCGAGAGGACCCCTTGGGAATCAGAGTTCCCACCTTCTGTACGTTTGATCTTCCATGTTGAGTGAGGTAGCCAGGATCGTTTAGAGGGGAGGTCGATCCGATCTATGAGCATCATGAGCATCTTGGAACGCCATAGAGCGCAAGTCACATCGCAAACCATTGGCTCCAGCAACAAGTGCATGCAGCAAGCTCCTGACGCACCTAGCATGCTGCATCTCCCGGGACAGTCCCAGCCAGTACGTCCGGCAAGAAGCATGTGATTCCTTGGGTCCCTTTGCGCTAGTCTTAGAGCCCGCTGCAAAAAGCAATATGCTTTGCAGCTTAGAGAGTATTCTCATTTATCAAAAAGGTTGAGAGTCCTCCTTGCGCTTTGCACTCGCGAAGTGACGCCAAAAAACCCTGGTCGGCGCAAAGGGACAAAAGAGGGATCACATGGGTCACATATGTGTCAGTTCTTTTCTTTTCCTGGCCGATTTGTTTCAGAAGATCCTGTGCAGTGAACCCACATGGCGAGGTGCCCGTCCTGGCCAGCCTGGCGGCCTTGGGCTGGCGCCCGGACTGCGGCCTGGCCTTCAGCTTTCGGCATCAGTTGGCCCTGGAAGCCCCGCAGCTGGCACTGGACCGCGGGGGGTTCGGCAGGGGTGCGTCTCGAGTGATGCCATGGTTTTTGAATTGGGAACCACCTCAAAAGTGATTGGTGGACATGAATCCCCACCTAAATGATGTCCACCACAGGGTCCCTGATTAAAATTTATTGCCATATCCCCAGGAACCGCGAAGTTTTCCCCTTGGATCTTGGGTGTACTTCCTGGCTTTTTCATGACACCCGCCAAGCAACGGTCATCTTGAGGAGGCTGCATCAAAATGCAACCACTCTGCACCCAGTCCCATGAACCGCTACGCCAGTCTACGTGCACCCCAAAGGGAACTCGGTGAGGAGCAGCCCAACGGGCATCGGACGGGACGCCGCAACAGCCGAAGGCGAGGGCTGGTCCTCTTCGCCGAATCGCTCGGTTGCGGTCTGGCTCGCAAAAAGTTGTTCAACATTTTGGAGGGTTTTACATTTGCGGGATTGTGCTTGCTTTTGCTTGCACCTGAGAGCAAATGACTGGAAAGGTCTTCTTGTCTAAATGTGTTTTGAGCAACGACTTGCCAGCGACCAACAAAAAAGGAGATTTTGCCTTTCGAGCATCGAGGGCCAACGGACACCTCCAAAACCAACACCTGCGCCAAACTTTTGAAAGGGCAGATCATAGAACCCGCGATGCATCGGCTTTCTTGGGTTGCCCAACAAGGAAAACGCGAGCGCGTCTTCTTCCCCTCGCAGGTCCGCGGCAGCCGCTGCTTCGGCTCCTGCGGAGGCCGCGCCTTTGGCTCCGGCTGCGGATGCAGCGACAGCTCCGGCCAGGGCCGCAAGGGTGTTGGTGCGCAAACATAGTGGTTCCATCGTCTTTTTTCCAGAGTTGGTGGTGTGAACTCCATCGTATTTTGTCCAGAGTTGCGGACTCAACCTTTCATGTTTTTGGCCGTTAATTGTATTTTTCTTCCAGGCTCCAGAACTCATTTCTGCTTGCATGTGCACCCAGGGTTTGGATTGGTGTGTGGCTTTGGGCTGCCTTCTCCCCCGAGCCAAACCACTTCTGAGGCCTCGCCCGACATGCAGAGGCCGGACGATGAGCTAACACCACACCGTCGGGCGAAGAGTTGTGTGTCTTATGTGTGTGGATACTGGTGGTTCGCTGTGCCTGATATTAGTTGGATGCGGGAAACCGAGGGGAAACCAAGTGAAAAGCAACTGCTGGCAACCACGAGGGCGTTGACATTGCGGTTTTCCCTTGTTTGGTGCATGTGCCCAAGGTTCCAAACGGTGATCGCATCCTTTGGTCGCAAGTGAGTAGCAAGCAGTCAGGGGCTTTGGCCGCAAGTGACAGGGTTCCCTGAAAACGTTTCAATCATAGGTGGCCTTCTAGGTCAATTTTTGGTTGAACAACAATTGGCACTAGTTGCAGGTTGGTCCCAATCATTATCAGTCTATTTCCCCAAAAGGACACCTATGGTTGTAAACGCTTTCTCCCGTGAGGTTCCCTAGTATGGCCCGCAACTCATGCTTGCCACTGGCTTGTGGGGAACCCACAGGAGTTTGGCCACGGACAGTGGCGCTTAAAGGCCGTGAACTTGCGCAATACAAGGGCTAGAGTGGGGTTGTGGACGACTTCGAAAAGTAAGTCATGGTCATTGACCATTTGGCCGCGTCTTTTAGGGTCAAGGCTTCCTGCTTGTCACTCGGCTTTTCGGTCCCAAGCCCGTGGGATGGGCCAAACGAGGCCAGGTTCTGGAGGCTTGCCTAGGATTCGGAACCGTTCACTCCCAAACACCCCAGAAAGCAACACCTCTTGACTCCCAAGTAGAAGTAGAAGATCCTTTTTGGTGTCCAGACAAATCCCTTCTGTCTCCGCAGGCTGTGGCTCTCCTACTGGGCCACTTGGCCGGCGCTGGTGGCACTGGAGCAAGGCCGGACGCTTCTCTGGGAGCAAAGGAGAACGAGCAACTGGGTGGCTCGTTGTTTTTTTAGAGTCGGTACCCCTGTTTTGTTGGTTTTGAAGGAACAGCAAAAAGGACAAACAAAAACAGCAATTGCAGGGGCCCCCTTAAAAAACTGGTTGCAATGTTTGGGGCTTCCAAGAATCAAGAGATGCCGAGATTCGGCGGTATTTCTGTTTGAAAGGCCGTGTCAGATTCAGATATTTTGCCAAGAATGACAGTGTGGATTATGCCATTGTGCCCCTCGCTGGGCCGGGTAACCCGCACTGAACCTGGAGCCTGCGTGGCTTGCACAGGTCAGCCCGGGCACGGACTTTCCAGACTTTGTTCTTCCTGAGATCTTTCTCATGCAGTGAGAGAACTGAATGCCGGCCACGGAGAAATGCTCCGAACCGATCTTTGTGGCGGGTGCAATCCGATTTCAACAAGCTCTGTGTGCAGTAAACCCCGCATCGTAGTCTCTTTGGTTCTTTGGCCACTTCCTGAAAGCTTCCAAACTTGGGCTCTTCCCAGTATAAACCTTAACTTGCCCAAGGCATGCAAGTTTTCGTGAACGCGGGCTGCTTGAAGTTCAAGTTCGCTCTCTGCCGCCAGGCACTTCTTCGATTTTTGTCGCGAGTCGACCTGCCGACTCTGGGCTTGAGACCAGCACGCTCCGCAGGTCTGCCCTGGCTCGTGGAGCTACTGGACCTGCCGGAGGCGGGAGTCGGAGGACTCGACGGCGATGGTTTGGAGCAACAGGGTCAAGGAAGTTCCCCAAAAGTTTCTTGAGAACCAATCTGGCGGATTTTGAGCCAGACTAATTGTTTCCACCACCAAAGTTGGTTCGTGCTAACCCCTTATACAACCACCCTGAGTTTCCGAAATAAGGGAACTGCTGGGTTCTGCCCCACTGCTGGACGATGCCCTTGGTGCCCTGGATTGCGCGGAGATGAGATTCCAAAGTCGAACTGGCTGAGCGAGCCGTGCATAAAAAATACCCACCCCAAACTTAGCACTCATCCCAAGCCAACTTTTGACCAACCCTAAACCAACCCAAAGCTTATCCTAAACCCAAACCCAAGCTAGCCCGGCACCAGAGCTAACCAGCGCTACCCCGAACAAACCTGCGAACAGCCAAGCAAAAACCAAGCCAAAGCCAATGCAAACTGCATACATGGTGGCCAGGCCCCAAAGGGAACCGAAGAACTTGGGAGGCACAGATTTCCCCAGAGTTTGGGCATCAAATCGGAGTCCAAAAGGACTGCCATTTCTTCGGCGCGTTTCTGGAGAGACTGGACGAGACTGGACCGTTTCAGGTGGCCGAAACGCAGCTGAAGTTGCGGCGCGGGGGTGTGGTCCTCCTGTGGTCCACTCAGCGCTTCCACCTGTCCGGGGAGTTACGGTGAGTTTCTGCTGGGGGGGGGCAACCCAGTTCGTAAGCTGGGTTCCTCATGAAGGAATGAGATAATAAAAAGATGATAAACATTTGGCCCTTTCACACATTTTCAACCACAATGTTCGGGTGGATAATATGAGGCAACCTGCTAAACAGGCCCTGGCTGATCGGAACCTTGGCTGTTGAGAGACCCTCTGCGAATCTGGCAGGTTGATGAATTTTGGTTCAGCATTGCCTGAGACCTTCGAACTCGACCTGCATAGCCGCGCGTTCCTGGCGATTTCGGGCTGCTTTGACTAAAGTACTGTGTCGAAGAGCACCTACGTGTAGCATAGTATGTGGCAAGGGAAAAGGTTAGAAAGCACTTGCAAAAACCAGATGCACGACTGCAAGCCTTCTCAAGTTGCTGCCCAAAGCGGCTTTATTGGATTGCAGCTGCATGTAGCAGTATTCAGAATGTTTCCCCTTGATATCAGTCAGACTCACGAATGTGTTGAATCACTGATATAGCACGAACAGCAATCTGTCCCAAGGTCAACCACTCACGATCGGAGTACGCAATGGAACACATGGGGGGATTTGAACCGGCAACCGATCTCCCTTCAACAGAGGAATCCTCCAAGTGCTTAGTCTCATGAGGTTGCTTTTTAAGCGCGCTACATCTCGTCAGTTATGGCTCCCACCCCGTCACTGAAGGCATATTTTGGGGATCCAATGCCAAACAATTCTAAACTCTGAATCGGGCCTTTAGGACCATCCCCTACTGTAATTCGTACGGCACGGTCTGCCGAACAATTATCCTCCGCAAATAAGACAAAGTTGATTCCAATTGCAGCCCAAATATTACTTTATCGTATGCGTCTCAACTCCGCAGAGCGCCCACCTACAACTACTTGGTCCCGCAAACCACTTTCTCCCCTGGAACCCGTTCAATCTGAGGTGAACAAAACGGTTAACTCATCTTCCCAAATCAGCCCGAGCTGCACAAAAAACACTGAGACCTTCAGACAATTGGCCGCCGTGTTTGGTCGGTGGCATTCATCAATCCATCCTGACCCCTCAGCAGCGCGGATGACTGAATGGATTATCCTGACCATATCGGAGTCCAGGATGGAAAGGCGACTCCCTGACTCTCATCATATTAATCAAGAGGTTGCTGCATTGCGAAAGCATTGGGTGACCCTAAAAGGCACACCATACTCTCACATGGACCCTCTAAAACCCACCTTTGAGGAGCCTCCCTTTGAGGGGTTCCAGTCAACCTGCGGGTCCAGGCTGCCGTGCAACCTCTCGGCTGCCGTGCAACCTCTCGGCCCAGGCTTTGGCTGCAGGTGTGGCAGGGCAGCCACCTGCACCTCGCCTTTCTGCGCCCCGGCCAGCAATGGGCGGCGAACGGCGCCGTTTTTTCAGTTTTTCTTCCCGCGAGGGGTATGGGGTCCGGTTTGGGCCAATTCTGGGTTCGGGGCACTTGGGGATGGGCTGTGGTTCTGTCCGGAGCTGGGAGGAAAGTTTGTTTAACCCACCCGGGTGGCCTGTCTGGAAGAATAGCTTGAGGTCGAGAAGGAGCCCAAAGCGAATGCTTGACAAATGTTTCTTTGATGCCCAGAAGTCAAGATGATGACCCCACGGATGTTGCGAAAGGTCTCTATGATGCTTTGTGAGGCGATGGCTGGTCTCCCGCCTCAGGGTGTCGCAGCCTCAATCAAGCCGGCCGTGGCTGATCCGTGTTGTTCGACATGTTGTTCTCGTGCGAGGGTACACCACTGCCAGACTTAGCCATCCTGTTTGCACTGAAGTTCCTTAATCTCCTTTTGAACCAGCGAAAAAAAATGCTGCAGTCCGAGTCTGGCACAGCATATTGCCCAGTTAGGCGTCATCTGCTTAACTGAATCAAGGGACAGGCGCGACATATTTCCAACACAAGTGTGACGCGGATGCGAGCAATTGGCATGTTGGGTTCTCGTTGGAAATTGGTAGAAAAGATCCGACGGTTTCCCGTACTCACAAAGCACATGCAGCATTCAGATGAATCAACAAACGTTCCACTCTTTTCCAAACGATCGCTGGGAGTCCCACTTTGCCCCCTCAACGCCGCAACAAAAAAAGCTTCGAGGTGCCCAAAACCCTTCGACGTTTGGTTCTACCCAATAGGGAACGAAGGAAAGCTGGAAAACTACCATGGATTGTCCACGATACCGACATGACCCTTTTGCGGACATCACTTACATGGGCGTCCGCAACCATTGGGGGAGAGTATTTCCCAGAGAAATTCACAGCCTAATATGGTCATAACGGCGTTTATAAGCCTCACCATGCTCCCTAAAGTTTACAAACGAAAGAGCAGACAGACAAACCTGCCCAAACTAGAGTCCCTTCAAAATGGTCGCTGTCCTAGACTTGTCATGTCACAAGACAAATGCCTACGGCGCGAGGCACTGTGACATGAGCCCATCACGGGGCCAGCCTCCTGCTTGGCCGTTTGAACCCTCCCGCGGGACCCGGATACCATCTTTGGCGGACAAGTGTTTCGAATGGAACAAACTATGGAGCCAACGTTGAAGACATATACGAATGGACCTGGATCACCTAAGTCACTGATTGAGGGCTGACTCGCAAGAGCCCGTGCTACCTAGTGACTCTATGTTGCCATGGGGCCATGAATGACCATTGGCAAGCTTCCCATGTTTCTGCTTGTCGGCTCTGAATCAGTACGGCTGAAACAAATTGACAAGGAGCCACCTCCAAAGTGGTTGGTGGACATGAATCCCCAAGTAGATCATCAATCGCCATCTTTGTGTGTTTTCGGATGTTTCCCTTTCGTGGGTCCTCCCCTTTTGCCCGTGATTGCCACCATTTCGGATCCTAAATGCACATCTTGCCGGTGCTCAGGGAATGAGAAATGGCATGACCGGAGCAAACCCATCCCACTGGTGGTTTCCTACAGGACCAAAGCCTGGGCTCGTTCCCGCATTCCCTGCGGAGGGCCATGGTTTGTTTGGTGTTTCCTAGGGGACCCCAGGTTCATCCAACTGGTGGTTTCCTTCAAGGGGACCCCGGGTTCCTTCCGAGGGCTCCCAGGGCCATTTGGCAGGCTGGAGGTCTTGATGCAGCTGCTGGGCCAGCGGGGCCTGCAGCTTCTGCAGCTCCTCCGAGGCGTCGATGGGCTCGCGGCTGGCCACGGGCGGCCTGGGAGCCTTTGGTCTGTCCGTCGGATGCTCCAACCAACTGGGTTTGGGTCAACATTGAGCCACCAGGGCACCGCAGGTTTCAGTTTCCATCTGCCAGGGTTCCAGGTTGGGTGCCTATTTTTGCGGTGTTTAAAAGGGAAGCCATAAGGGAAACCGCCGCTTTGGGGGCAAGACATACCCATTTGTAGTCAAGGTGGCCTGAAAGGATGAGAACCCTCAACCAACTTAGTTATAGGTAACCATGAGTATAAGAAGACGATCCCCCCAGTCACCCCAGCTTTTGTTTCTCCCCATGGTTGTAGCCTACTTACTAAGCTGGTTGAACACCCAGGCAGCATTTTGAATCACCCAAAAGGAGGGGGCATGAGGGGGCGATGCCTTGGCCTTTGGAAACGGATACGAACCTCAAAAACGCAGAGCAAGCCACAATTGGGTAGAACATGGGCATTAGATCCTTCTGTTCCCCTTTGCCGGCCGCTTGCCGAAAGGTCCATGGCTACCCCATGTGGGGTCCATGGGAACCCAGGAACAATATCACTCCCTGGTTGATCGGTTCCTGGTTGCGCGTTCCATTTCTGATGGAATCCTGCGGCGGCATCAGTATACCTGGTGAGAGCAGATGGCGCAAAGGGAAGTGGCTGAGTGAAGCGAGAGCTTGGAATTCATGCGGCAAGGGAGCGGCCGGGCAGGCAGGATTGGTCCAAACTCTTCCCAAATGTTGAAAACAAACAACGGCGTGGATATCTTCAAGCTGCAGGAGGAATGTCAAATGCCCCCGCACCTTCGCCTTTCGCCTATCTTCTCGATACTCCCAGTTGTTGCTCCTGTTTGTGCTACACCAAAGCCGGCAATGCATGTTGGTCTGTCGCCCCTCTTCGGAGTGCGCAGGCGGCGTGCCTGCGCCCGGGGCTGCGAATCTTTGGGCGATGTGGCTGGGCCAGATTTAGAGCGAACCATGGGCCACGGCTGAAGGGGAGTATTGCTTGGAGCCCGTGCAAAGCTTTAGTTACGACAGTTTGTGCAGCGTGTTGCTAGTTGTTGATTGCTTCGGCAGATCTTGCGCAACATGCCAGCCGCCAACCCAAGTTCAGATTGCGTCAATTTGCTGTATGTGCCTTAGACGCATATGACCATCTTCCCTTCTGCCACCTTCTGCCAAATCTCTGTCGCTGCAAACGGGTTTCGCAAAGACAAGGGGCCCACTTTCAAGTGACAGTCCGAATCTTGGATGTTCCTTGCATGTGAATCTGATCAAAACAGAGTCCACTGAGTCTACTGTTTTGAGACTTCTCTCGAATGTCAACCGTCCAAACTGGGGCAGCGGTCATTTGATAGGGCTTTCGGACAAGCAAATAGGAGGACCGGCGTCACAGTAATCCACGCGACAACTCTTCGAAAGATAAAGGTGTTTTGGATTCGCTTATTTGCAAGATATCCTCCCACCAATTGACATGGAACCGGACAGGGGGGATATTTGCATTTGCCCGGATGTGTCGCGCTCTCAGTCCGAACCTCAGGTGGCAGTTCTCTCGGAGGAGCTGGGTGCTGATCGCTGCTGCGCTGGCCTCAGTAAAGTTTACGGCTTTGTAGAATATAGGGATGCCCCGAACTTGCCCAGGAAGTCATGGCCCGCCTATGGTGCCAACTTGATCATTTGACCGCATATTTGGCTGACGATGTTGAGGGCATGGAGGTTTTTGGATGTCTATGGTCTATGATAAGCAAGTGTTAAATCATCCAAAATCAGTCCAGGGTTCCGTTTGCTAGTCCCAGGCGAATGCCTTTTCTGTTCTTTTTTTCCGGATTCTCAAGCACCAGAAATTCAGGTGCCCCTTATTTTAGGGGATTTAATTGCAGAAGTCACCCCCCGCTGCAAATTCAAACAGACCCAACAGGAGGTCCCGAAACGCAGGTTCCTCTTACACACGATGGCCAGATTTTGGAAGTTTGACACCATATGCCCCAATGGCGGGATTTGGGGCTACCAAATATGGTTTTCAACCCAAAAAGGTGGTCCCCCCAAAGGTTTGGGTTCCATTTTCAATCTACCATGGTTGGTTTCCTTTTGGGGTCCGTGAAAAAAGCAAACAAGCCAAGCGCCCAAGCATTTTTCCGCTTGAGGACCTCAGCAAAGGATGCATTGCAGACAAAGAGTAGCCTCTTCATTTGGCTATGGATCAAAACCCCGTACCCTGTGAACATCCCAATCCCCACTAAAATCGACTAAAATGGGTGGTGCACCTACCCCAAAATGGTACATTGGTGTTGACCCACGGCCATTTTGAGAAGCTCCAAAAAGAGCGCTGCCCAGGGCGGCCTGGCTGGACTGCTGTCACTGCTCTGCGTGGTGCCGAGCTCAAGGGTGGTGGGGGATTCAACCATGTGGGATCATGTGGGTGTTTCTGGTTTAGACCCCCCCCCTCAAAAATAAAGCTAGTTTTCCTGTTAGCTTGGAGCACTCTTGGGACCCCTTGGCAGGGCCAAAATGAAGCCGGGGTACACTTCGCGGTGGGGGAAGTCAGTGGGCTTCCTATGAAGTTTCCCGGTCCACTTCCTAAAATTGCAGATTTGCCTTTTGCTGGCATCAGGCTTTTTGGATGGTTGCCTATGTTCACCCTTTGGCTGCGTCCCGCTTAACGGGATTCCGCCAGAATTGTCCCTGACACTTTTGAGTTAGTTTCAAAGGAAGCCAACAGGAAGCGCCGCATTTTCGGGGGTCCCCTTCCCTCCTTGTGAGAACAACCTCAGCTGGCAGCTGACAAAAGGGGTTTTGGATCGAAGACGAGTTTCTTGGGGCAGGCCCGTGTCCCTTGTCCACTTTCATCCTTTTTATGAGGTTACTCTGGTAACATGGACCCCCAACACCACAGCCATTTTTCGAGGGACCTGCTTTGGTTGATGAGAAAGACTCCCTTTTAGGCCCCCCATTTCGCTTGATTTGGCTTCCATGTCCAACTCACCTTCGATCCTTTGTTGGATCGATGCGCAGGTGGTCGCCTTCTCTCGCGCGCTGAGCTTCTTCACCCGCGCCTGGGCTTTGTTCTTCTCAAAAACGTGCGTTTCACATACGGAGTTGGGTTGAAAGGTACATCAACAGGAAACCGCCCGGGTGTGTTAGTCCCTATAATTCGACACATGTCGGAAAAGGGTTCTACGGTTGTGGGCTCTTGCCAGGCGTCACATGACACAAAAGAAGCAGCGGCTTTTGGTCCGCCCCTCTCAAGGAACCCAGAAGAGAAGCGCAAGAATCGCGGATCGTGTCTGAAGTCCATCGTGAGATGATTCGAGAATGGTTTCAGCAGGAGCAAGGAACGTCCTGGACGTTGAGAAGGGATTTCTGCTTTGTGTGTCTCGGAAGTTTGTTTTTTTGTGACACGCTTCCAACAGCACCGAGATGAGGGAGCGGGGTGCCCGAACACTCTCCGTGTGTTGTTTGAGGGCCGGGGTCAAACAAGGAACTGTGGTCGAAGATAAAAGCAGGTACTGCTGGAATATTGGGTATCCCAACCAAGCCTTATGAGTGGCCGCCTTTCCCGTCTCCATCCG